CAATCAGCATAACATCCAGATTCTGGATGTTGAACATGGCTTTAGAGGCGAATTGTGTCAGGCCCTCTTTCAATATCGAGGGCCTGATACTCAGGTTAGACTTGGACTAAGTCTAAATGACTTGTGACCTGATGTGGACTTGCAAAATATTACGGAAATCACAGAACTGTGGAATCCATAAAAAATTCGTATCGCCGCCACTCCCACGAACGTCTACGACAGCATGTGCATATTTTTGCATGTTTAATACAATTCTAATTTTAAACAGCCAATTACGATTAAACGTCGATTGGCTGTTTAAAATTAGAATTGTGAACGTGGCAAAAATATTCGTAGACGTTTGTGGGAGTGGTGGCGATACGAATTTTTTATGCGTTTCCACAGTTCGGTGAGTTTCGTAATAAGACTTGTTAACAACTAAAATTACAATCATTTCAAGGGCTGCATTTGAAATATTGCTTGTGAGTAAACGATTACTTTTTTAGATCTTGTGGAAAACTTTGATGAACCATCCAAGAATGAAACAGTGTAAAAGCAGCAATACAACATCAGCAATGTCGAAGTATGAATCATTCCCTAGGAAACGACTCGCATGCAACAGAACATTGACAAATAGAAAAGGCGCAACTATACGGCAATTAGAACAATATAAGCTACGCATCATTATTTTATATTTCGTTTTATTTTCATTACCAGTTTGGAGAGTACTGCTAAAATTGTAGTTCGAATAATAAAACATGTAAACATGAATTACAACTTGTTTTAGGAATAAAGTTTTTGACCGTGATTCTTGCAGTATGCGTTTTGCTTTTTTCGAGTGATGTACGTTTTCGCCAATTTCACAAGCAATTTTCGCCAATTTCACAAGCAGTATGCTGTACTGTAAACTTCTTGAACTGTCTTAGCCAGTGTAGGTAGTGCCAATAAAGTCATGAACACATACCTAATTTTAAGAATTTTTTATCACTGCATATTTTATGCCAAAAATTTCCGAATGACTAAGAAAATTTCCGAATATTCGGAAATTTTTGGCGACCCCCCCCCCGTCGCCAAAAAATTTGGTCAGTGTACCATTTTAAGGGTCAAAAATTTTTTCCGGACATACCAAAAGACAGATATTAACTAAAAATTGCCTGAATCTCATGATTTTCGTACAAAAAACATATACTATTATTTAATTCGATAATTTGGCAGTCATCATTTCAATTTCAATTAAATCATTCTCTTGTGTTAATTAACAACTTATCAAAGCAAATTTTATCACTGCACATTTTAACATAGTTTTGATGGTCGAGTCAGGTGTCGCGAGAGGAAAGTGGAATCTAGCGAGAGTCATCGAAGTTTATCCTGGTCCAGACGGTGTTATAAGAAACGTGAAGCTGAGAACAAAGACAGGAGAGTATGAACGATCCGTGCAGAAGTGTTGTTCAATACTGGAAGAAGGTTCTTCCTAATCGTATAATATCCCACGGTGGATCTGCCGTGGGATATTATAGTATCGCACGCTGGATCGCCAACAAAATTTTGGTCAGTGTACCATTTTAAGGGTCAAAAATTTTTTCCGGACATACCAAAAGCCAGATATTAACTAAAAATTCCCTGAATCTCATGATTTTCGTACAAAAAACATATACTATTATTTAATT